CCCAGAGAGGCTGTGGAGGCTCCTTCTCTGGAGACATCCCAGCCCCTCTGGAGGTTCCTGTGGGACCTGCTGGAGGGATCCTGCTTTAGGGGGTTGGATGGGGGATCTCCAGAGGTCCTTTCCTGCCCCACCATGCTGTGATCACTGACAAATCTGACCATGTTCTGCTGCTCATCCTCTTTTACCTTTTCAGCTCCCCCTTGGGGAGGAAAAGCTCCCAGTATTTCTCCCCCTGCTCCATGTTCCTCCCCTGTCTCCTGTGTGGGGCAGCAGGGACCAAGCAGGAGAGGTGTTGAACTTGACCTGTAGCTTCACCCTTGGGTGACCTCTAACCCCCACTCCAAACCATGAGCTCTTGATTATTTTTTTCTATCCCATCTTCACAAGGTTTTAGGAGAGGTTGACCCTGAGTTTTTGGTACAGACCAGCAGGAGAACATCCCCAAGTCACATAATGTGACATAGACCTGGGCAGAACGTTGGGTGCAATGCTGAGAAAACAGTGACACCTGTTCTGCCAGGAAGGATACACAGAGAATTTGTAAGAGAGTGAGTCCTAGGTCAGAAAAAGCATTTCCAGCTCTCCATGGAAGTATCCTGAGCACTGTGACATGAGCTACAGAATGGACATAAGGACCCTGCTCCTGGCACCTCCCTGCAGTGACAGAGGTGAACAACTGGGCATCTACAAGATTGATCCAAAACCCCAGTTCCTTCTTCATTCACCTGAGCTCTTACCTGACTGTAACTTACGGGTCAGTTCAAACTGAGATGGTGGGAGCCAGAACTGGAGGAGCCCAGTGAGTCCCTTGGGTACTGGGGGGCCACCAGCACAACCTCCCACTCTGACTGTGCCCAGCCCAATGTGCCACCAGGGAGGACAGGGAAGAAAATGAGGCAGAATCTGGATTTTCCACTGGTGAGGGAGGAATAATAGTCAGCAAACAGCAAATTTCCTTCCTGCTTGGGATACCAACAGCCCAGGCACCCTCAGGAGCCTGTTGCCAGCTTTGCTCTCATGGTCCAATGTTGTTCCTCCCACCTGGTCATCCAGCCTCTCCCCAGAGTCACTGAGCTCCACTTCAGGATACCCATTGGGATGTCCCTACTCACAAACACAGGAATTTGGTCATTTTATATTGTGGGCCATTAATTAAGGACATGGCCCCTTCCTCTTGTAACCCCAAGCCCCTCTACCCCACCTGCTCCTGGAGAAGGGAAGGTCTCCTCCATCCCACTTCCCCTTCCACTGTACATTTGCTAAAAAAACCCCAAGACCCAGGGGTGACCTAATGGCTCTGTTGTTTTTAGAGGCCTCCAGGAGGGATGCCCTGGCAGGGTGAGTATTGGTTTGTGCCACCTGACCCACACTGTGTGACCATAACACCAGTCACCCTCCCAGCCAGCTCTAGGCCACAGACACCATTAACCAGTCACTCCCACTGACCCTCAAGCTCAACCCATTTGAAGATCAATATTAATATTCCCCATCCCTGGAAGTGGTCAAGGCCAGGTTGGATGGGGCTGGGAACAGCCTGGTCTAGTGGGAGGTGTCCCTGTTGGATCTAGATGGTCTTTAAGGTCCCTTCCAACCAAAGTAATTCCATGATTCTATGAAAATAAGACCTTTTGCACCTGTTGAGTCGTGTCACTGAAGCAACACTGGAGGTGAAAGCTCCTCTGGGGGTGGGTGTATGGGATGGAGAAGCAGTGAACTTCTGGGGTGGGACTGTCCCCTACAGGGTTCTTCATACCCACCCTCTCTCCTCACCAGGTGATCCTTCCCCAGACCATGGCCCCAGCCAGGGCTGCAGACCCAGGGGCCATTCCTCACTTTATAAATTGCTGCTCTTATTGGTCAAAATGGGATCTTAGAAATCTTCCCAGGGGAGTGTAGACACAGGGAGTGACTCCTTTTTGTGTCAACTCCCCTGCGGAACCAAGAGGGTTTGTGTGTTGGACACTGTTGTGTGATGGCTCATCTCAACCACTGGTACCTCCCTACTGACCTGCACCACTTACTTCTTCCAGCAGTCCATGATCATGTTGTTCCTGGGAATGTTCTGGGCACTCCTCTACCCCAGATACCTAGTGGCAGATTTCCTGCCCACTGCTTCTCCACCTTCCTAAACCCCAAACACGGGTGGGTCATGGTCAGAGTTCTACCTGTGGTGGGAGCAGGACCCAGTGCTGCTCCTGTCCAAGGGGAAAAACTGACCTTCTGGGGTCCTGACTTGGTAACTTATTGAATTATTTCAGCAAGGCTCAAAGAGACTAAATCATGTGTAGGTGATAGAAAAGAAACTGGAGCAGCGTGACCAGCAGGGCCAGGGAGGGGATTGTCCCCTCTGCTCTGCTCTGCTCTGCTGAGACCCCCCTGCAGGGCTGGGAACAGCTCTGGGGTCCCCAGCACAGGAAGGACACGGAGCTGTTGGAGAGAGGCCAGAGGAGGCCCCGGAGATGCTGGGAGGGCTGGAGCAGCTCTGGAGCCAGGCTGGGAGAGTTGGGGTGTTGAGCCTGGAGAAGAGAAGGCTCCAGGGAGAGCTGAGAGCAGCTTCCAGTGCCTGAAGGGGCTCCAGGAAAGCTGGGGAGGGGCTTGGGACAAGGGCAGGGAGGGATGGGAGCAGGGGAAGGGTTTCCAGCTGGCAGAGGCAGCTGGAGCTGAGATGGGAGGGAGAAATACTACAATTAGTGGTGGCCTTGGCAGGGCTGGGTTAATGGTTGGACTTCATGACCTTAAAGGTCTTTTCCATCAAACAATTCCATGATTCTATGATTCATGATTTTTAAAGTCCCTCCACATCACATCTAGTTGAAGGGAAGTACTGGTGGTTCTTGATGGTCTCCAGCACTCAGTGCTTTTATACAAGGTTTTGGTATCTTCAACTTGCTTCTCACCCACTTTCTTCTAATTCTGGAACTGCTCCATCTCCAGCCCATCGTGAGTGTGCGGAGGAGACCAGAGCCCTGGTGTGTGGAGGAGACTTGAGCTAGGATGGCAGCAGAGTCCCCAGAAAGTGGCAGAACCTGCTGATTCCAGACGAGCTGTTTCTTTTCCTGACCAAGCAGCACATGTTCCGTGTCTAAATGTTTCTGTCTCCCTGTCCCAGTGAGACCCTGAGCTGCTCCCTGCACCCAGCTCGGGAGCTGCGGCTGGAAACGCAGTCACTGCTCAGCCTGGTCAGCACTTCTGCTCCCTTGGGAGGGTCTGGGGGGTTTGCAGACCCACGGGCAGGCAGCAAACCCTGCAGAGATTCCTACAGGCTCTGCTGAACCCCCTGAATATGATTCTGGAATATCCTTTATGCTCCTGTAATGAACTTGTGCTGCCTGAGGGCTTTGTTGGGGCTGTTGGGAGGCTGAGGAGCTGCAGGGAGGGGTGGAGAGCTCAGATCTGCTGACCCTGCCTGAGAGCTGAGGTGCTGGGGCAGGAATGGCTGGATGGCTAGGAAGTTTTGAAGAAGGAGCTCAGCTTTTAGACTGGAGCAAAGGAGGCTGAGGGGAGACCTGCTGGCTCTGCAGCTGCTGAGAGGAGGTTGGAGCCAGGGGGGTCGGGCTCTGCTCCCCAGGAACAAGCGACAGGACAAGAGGGAACGGCCTCAAGTTGTGCCAGGGGAGGTGGAGGTTGGATCTGGGGAACAATTTCTCCCTGGCAAGGGTTGTCAGGGCCTGGCCCAGGCTGCCCAGGGCAGGGGGGAAGTCCCCATCCCTGGGTGGGTTTCCAAGCCCTGGAGATGTGGTGTGAGGGAGAAATTCTGTGCTGTGAGGGTGGGAAGAGCCTGGCCCAGGTTGCCCAGGGAAGCTGTGGCTGCCCCATCCCTGGGGGTGTTGAAGGGCAGGTTGGATGGGGCT